TGGAAAGCAGAACACTCGTACGAGGCAGAAAAAGAAAAAGAGAAAAAGAAAAAGAAAAAATAATAACAGTAACGACAAATAGAACACGTATAAAGTAGGTAAAGACTAAAGACGTTTGAATGAATTAAATATTACTAATTGATAATGGTATAAAAATGGAGATTGAAAGTTTAGGATTAATGAGGTACTTTGAACAGATATTGAACAATGAATAATACGAATAATAAATAGTGAATAGTGAGTGGTTTAAATAGTAAAATGATATTGATTGATTGAAAAAGTGAATCACTAATGAATGAAATGAGCAATGTATTGCCATTAGTTATTAAATTAATAATTAATAAGAAAAAACAAAAAAACAAAAAACATGCCTGGAAAATGAAAAAAAAATCATGTGCTAAATATTGATAAGATAAATATAGACAAAGAAAAATATGATATATAAACATTTTGCTAATAATACTTAGAAAATCCCAAACACATAAAGAATCACTGATATACCAGAGGAAGGCGGTATAGATTACGTATTTAAATTTGGGTAAACTAATAGTGATATTCGATAGCTAAACGAGCAGTTATTGAAGGTTAACAAAAGGTACGCAATAATTATAAAAAAAAAAAATAATAAAAAAATTAAGCACACAAACACACACATCTTATCCCCCCCCAAGAAACACACTCACTCCCTCCCACACACACACACATACACCCCCCCCCCCACACACACACACCCATCCACACAAACACCCACACTCTCTCTTCCCCCGCCCCACCCACACCCACACCTACCCCCCCCCCCCCCCCCACTCACACTCCACACACACTCTCTCTTCCCCCGCCCCTCCCCCACCCCACACACACCCATCTACACAAACACCCACACCCACACATTTGCACCCCCCTACCCACCCACCCACCCACACACACATTTACACCCCCCCCCACCCCCCCCCCCACCCACCCACACACAACCTCATCTCCTTACCCAGTACTTCGAAGGCCTTCCTCCCAAGGAACTGTCATGTCCCCAGCCAACGATCCTGACGGAGTGCATGGCATAGTCATCCTGTGGAGATCCTGTGTGCCTGTACACACCGCCGGCGTACATGAACAGGTCCTTGTACACTCTCATGATGGCTGTAGGAAAGGAAGAGCGGTGGTTATGTACGTATATTTATGAGTATGTGTATCTGCGTGTATACTTTGATGTGTTTGTGTTTTATTTGCATTACTTTTGGAGGAAATCTTTATAAAGAAATATATAAGTCAATAAACTAGCCAATCAGAGGTCTTTATCCCCTCAAAATAAGGTAACAAACCAGCCAATCAGAGCTTCCCGCTAGAGAATAAAATGTTAACAAACCAACCAATCAGATCTTCCCGCCAGAATACGAGGGACCAAACCGACCAATCAGATCTTCCCGACAAAAAAAGAAAGGGTTCAAACCAGCCAATCACAGCTCACCTTGCACGGGTCCGTTGGTCATGATCTCCCACTGGATGTCTTCCTCTTTGCCAGCGATGCGGTAGGGAGGTTCTGTCTTGTACAAGTCTCGTCTCTGGTACACGACCTGTGAGAAGGGAAAGTTATTGTACAAACGCCAAAAGAAGTAGAAGAAGAAAAAAAAAAGTACTTTTACTCGGGAGTAGATGAAACCGAAACGATCGCTAAGAGTTGATTCGTAAAAATCGGTACATGTTTTCCAAAAGATTATTGCACACGCGCCAAAAGAAAGAAAGAAAAAAAGTATTTTTACTCGGGAGTAGATGAAACCGAAACAATCCCAAAAAATATTTTACTTTTGAAAACCTTTTCATCTTATTATATATATATATATATATATATATTTTTTAAATTCTTAACCAAACTTACCTCCTTTGATGCGCATCTGAGGCTGAAGAGGTTGGCCCTGATAGGAATACGGCAGCTTGGCACCTTCCCGGTAGTGCCACTTTCGTAACTATAACATTCCTCGTTCACAACACTGGAAGAAAAATGGTGTGTTATTACTATGAGTGAGTAGTTGAAGTTGTATTTTTTTATTCATCTGGTATTGTATTTTTTTATTTATTTATCTATTTTTTTATTCCTTTAATATGATTTTATTTGTATTATTCTATCTCAACGTGGAATTGTGGTGGATAGCTGGGGCTCTGTTGTAGTTTCTACTGATTTATCTTTTTTTTTTTTTTTTTTTTGTCTGATTATATCTAATATAATTCTCTTTCATTCTCTCTCTCTCTCTCTCTCTCTCTCTCTCCTCATTCCCCTCTTCTATTCTTCAACCTTTTCTTTTCCCTCTTCCTTTTTTACCCTTTCACCTCTTCTTCCCTTCTTCCTTCTACCCCTCTCCCTCTCTACTTTCTTTCTCTCTTTACGTTCCATCCATTCCTCACCCTTTCTCCACACCCACCCACCTACCCACACACACACACACACACACACACACATACACACCTACACACACATATACACACCTACACACACACACACATATACACCTACACACACACACACACACACACACACATACACACCTACACACACACACCCACACAAACCCACCCACCTACCCACACACACACCTACACACACACACACATATACACCTACACATACACACACACACACACACACATACACACCTACCCACACACACACACACCTACCCACACACACCCTACCCCCACCCCACCCACCCCCCCACCTCCCCCCACACCCACCCACCTCCCCACACACACACACCTCCCCCCCACACCCACCCACTTTCCCACACACACACACCAACCCCCACCCCCCACCCACCCACCTACCCCCACACACGCCCAAACAACTCACCTACCCCCTTTCCCCCTGCAACTTACCCAACCTTCCGTAGGTACTGCCACGCCCTATCGACATGCCCGCCTTCGCAGCCCCTCTGGCCTCTCCTGCTGCAGCTCAGGAGGTGTTGGGGGGAGAGTCTCACCGTCTCGTTGCCAAAGGATTCGATGGAAAGCCTGGGATGAAGGAGAGAATAATGATAAAACAAAGGATGAGTCAGGGATAAATGGATGAATATTGGATGTGGAGTTGATGGAGAATGGGGTGTGTTATAGATGATAGATGAAAAGGGAGGATGTAAAAGGGGATAATAAGAGTGTTGGTTTGATGTGTGTCTGGTAAATTAATTAGAAAAGATGTAAATATTGCGAAAAAAAATTTAAGATAAAATTACAAGTACCTGTCATGAGGCAAAAACAGGTAATAGTTATCTGTCTTGAGCCAAAACGAAGTAATGATAACCTGTCACGCACCAAAAACTACTTATGATCAAGTGTCCCGTGTTAAAAACGAAACATAATTACCTGTCCTCGAGTTAAAAACAAACAAACCAAGAAACAAATGATGAGATTTACCTGCCCTGCGCCAAAACCAATTTATAATTATATTTAATTTATAATTATTATCCTTCCTGCGCCAAAAGTTAATCTATAAAATACCTGTCTTGTACTAAAATCCAAGACTGATTTCTAACTACCTTACCTGTACAAAATACAATTCATAACTACCTGTCCTGCGCCAAAATCAACTCCTAATTACCTGTACTTTATGATTACCTGTCGAAAGACCGATTCCTAATTACCTGTCTTTTTGGAAACGACCGCTTTACAGTTACCTATCCAGCACCAAAACCACTGTCCTATGCCAAAATTATATAATAATTACTTGTCTTTTGGCCATCGACCGCTTCATAATTACCTGTCCTGTACAAAGACCGCTTCTTAATGACCTTAAATGCGCCAACCCCTTTTTGTAATTAACTGTCCTTCGCAAAGGCCACTTCATAACAATCTATCCAGCACAAAGACAGCTTCCTAGCGACCTTACCTGCGCCAACACCTTTCCATAATTACCTGTCCTGAGCAAAGACCACTACGTAATAATCTTGCCTGTACAAAGATCACTTCCTAACGACTTTACACCACTTCATAATTACCTACCCTGGGTAAAGACCACTTCATACTAACGCTTCCTAACGACCTCACCTGCGCCAACCCCTTTCCACAATTACCTGTCCTGCGCAAAGACCACTTCGTAACAATCTATCCTGTACGAAGACCACTTCCTAACGACCTTACGCCACCTCATAATTACCTATCCTAAGCAAAGACCACTTGACACTAACGCTTCTTAATGACCTTTCGCCACTTCATAATTACCTACATTGCGTAAAGACCACTTCATACTAACGCTTCCTAACGACCTCACCTACGCTAACCCCTTTCCACAATTACCTGTCCTGCGCCACCCCCAGCGTCGAGAAAGCCCACGAGGCGCCGCACCAGCCTTGGTCTCCGACGTCGCTCACCCGACCCACCCACTCGGGCTTCTGTCGGGCGTCGAACTCGCTCGGGATGCGGGACGGGTCGGGGCGCAGGATGATCGGGTACATCTGCAGGGACTGGTGGTAGGGGAAGAGGAGAACGGTTTTAGAGACTGTTGGAGGAGGAGGAAGAAGGAAGAAGAAGAAGAAGAAGAAGAGGAAGAAGAAGAAGAAGAAGAAGAAGAAGAAGATGAAGAAGAAGGAAGAAGAAGAAGGAGGAGGAGGAGGAGAAGAAAGAAAAGAAGAAGAAAACGTTTTGTAGAGATTGTTGGAGGAGGAGGAGGAGGAGGAGGAGGAAGAATAAGAAGAATAAGAAGGAGAAGAAGAAGAAGAAGAAAGAAAAGAAGAAGGAGAAGAAGAAGATAAAGAAGAAGGAGAAGAAGAAAGAAAAGAAGAAGAAGAAGAAAACGTTTTGTAGAGACTCTTGGAGGAGGAGGAGGAGGAAGAAGAAGAAAAGGAATTAAAAGAAGAAGGAGAATAATAATAATAAGAAAACGTTTTGTAGAGACTTGAAAAGTATGTGCGTGTGTTTATGTGTGTGTAGAAAGATAGATAGTTAGATAGATAGATAGATAGATAGATAGATAGATAGAGAGAGAGAGAGATCGAAAGAATAACACTTTCAGAGGCTGT